TCTCTCTCTCTCTCTCTCTCTCTCTCTCTCTCTCTCTCTCTCCCCCCCCCCCCATCTCTCCCTCTCTCTTTAAAAAAAAAAAAAAAAAAAAAGAATGGGAGAAACATAAAAGTATCTTTCACTCTGAAGATGCCCCACATTTTCCCTTCAGTGTATATTCCTTGCTTTACTCCAAAGGGCATATCTCATTTGAGATAGCCTACTGTCTCTCTTGAATGTGTTTCTAGTTCCTTAAATAAATCTTTCTGTTTCTAACTAGCACGGGCTGAAATTCTTTTCCAACTAGTAAGTCAAGGACCCCACTTGTCCTGAATTTCCTCCTCTCCATGAACTCCTTGAACCCTCTAGTTCTTTGCCTTACTGCTGAGCGCAAACACCTGTCTGTGTTTCCTGCCTTTTTCCTTGTAGAAGACTCAAAAATTCCAACCTGACAATCAGAAGAATATCCAAACCGTCCCGCAAGCATTTTTGGAGGTGTGGACATAGGGACTGGATTGTCCACTGTTGTCTGGCGGTGGACGTTCCCTGCAGAATGTGCCCAGTGACTGCGCGGGATATTGCCTTGTAGGCACACATATCCGTGCGAGTTTGCACATGTGGCCGGAGCTCCGGGCGGTCTGGGGTTAGCATCCCAGAGCTTGGGGACTGGGTAGAGCTTCAAGTCCGAGCTCCCAGTTTAGGAGGCGGATTGCACCAGACCTCTCTGGGCTACTCCGGGGTAGAAGCCACGTCTCCCCTCCTAAGCGTCTGGGGGAAAGGGAAGACAGAAAGGAATTGTGAGTGTTGGAAACCACCGTGGCTCTCCCCACTATTCCCAGTGCAATTTCAGCAGTACCAACCATTTGTTGTGAGCAGAGGACCAGTACAAGACTTGTAATCCACCCCCCCAGTGCCGAACCAACTCCTCCCCTTCCTTCAGAGAGAAATCTCCCAGGTGCATCCGAAATCGCGGGGTGTGGGACAGAGCCCCAAGAACTGAGAGAAGAAAAGTGGAGATGGAGAAAAGGAGGAGAAGGGAGCGAGGAGCCGGCAGCAAAGGGAACAGCAGATTGCGTCCAGCCAATGGCAACGGCTGGACGAGGTGGCACCAAATTCCCTCTGGCCAATGACTGGCCAGAGTTTAAAGGAGTCTCATTAGCATTTCCCAGAGGCTGGGGCTGGGGCGGCGTGGTGTTGGCGTCGGCTGCAGCCCCACGCTGTGTCTCCGGTGGCTGAGCTACTCGACTTTCTGTCCCCTCCCCCTCTCCCGCCCTTATTTCCACGCGGGGCTGTCTTGGCCAGGCAGCTCTGCTCACTCTGTCCCTTTTGGCAGCAGATCAAAGAGTTTTGAGGAAACGGTCGCCCTAGGCTAACTCTTCCCTTTAAATTCCGAGCCCAGAGAGATCCGCGCACAGCGGGTCGGGCCTGCACAGCCATCCACGTGCCACAGCAGAGAGGTGTTCCGAGCGCAGCTCCACCGACGCCCCGCACCAGCGGACCCCTGAGCAGAAGTCCATCCTCTGTCTCAGCTGCGCCAAATTTGCTCCTCAGCCTCAGCCCCGGGAGCGTGATCCCAGCACCCGAGAGCCAGATGCCCGCCCACATGCTGCAGGAGGTGAGCGTCCCAGAAGTGGCCTCTGTCCCGCTGCGTAGCGGGCGCGAATGGGGCTTGTAGGCGACTGGTTAGTGGGGGAGACAGTTAAGAGCTTCTGTGAAGAAAGGGCCGTCTTTTCTGCTTCCCTCGGTTGGGGGCAGGGTGTGTTTTGCATTCTGGAGGATTTATTCCCTGACTCTTGGTTCTTGAGCTTTAAAGTCAGGAAAACTCTGGTCCTGCTCAGACCCCCTGCATACATGGGGTTTCCTTTGCGTGTTGCTAGGGGTGCGAGCTGTTTACCCTTCTCGCTCCTTCTGCTCCTTCACCTTATGATTTAACTCCCAACTCATCTGCAATTTCTGGAAACCGTCTCCTATTCCATCTCTAGATACCTACCACCATCACATAGCCTAGGTACTGAGGCAGGGTCTGTGCCTCTACTGCACACCACCCTCCACCCCCAGCTGCATTAGAGAGCAAGAGTCCTTTACTGCCCCAGCCTCTGCGTTCTCTTGACTCTCCACTTCTCTTTTCAGATCTCCAGCTCCTATGTGACCACCACCACCATCAGAGCACCTCCAAATGAGGGTCTCCATGATGGAGAACAAAAATTGGAGAAGATGTCCCTTTACTCAGCAGAAGATATCCGCCCTGAAATGAAAGATGATATATATGATCACAGCTATCAGGATGCCGAGGGTCCCACACCCAAGCTTGAGTATGTCTGGAGAAACATCATCCTCATGGGCCTGCTGCACCTGGGGGCCCTGTATGGGGTCATACTGGTTCCCACCTGCAAGTTCTACACTTGGATCTGGGGTAAGCAGGTTCCTTTATTCTGAACCAGTACCCCAGGTTTCTCACTGATATTTAATAAGGTGGGGTCTTCCACAGAGCAGAGGCTCCTCTCCTCAGGTTTTGCCTGCCAAGTGTCTTTGGTTGCCTGAGAGGCTGACTGGCCTGGGAATAGAGCCTAGTGAGATTGGGGTGCAGGAAGGTAGGTTCTACAGGGTCCCTTAACATGGGTGCTGAGGAGCAAGCACTGAGACCATGCACAGGGGGCTTTGAAGTATAGATATGTGTGTAGCACAGAAGCAGCTGTCCCCCCAAAAAACTTTTCTGTTTGAGTCAGTTGGCTCTCTGTCCCTGTCCTGCCTGCCTGAGTGACTGAGAACCTGGGGCTAGACCAGAGTTCCTGAACTGCACACTGAGCACAGTCAGGGTTGTAGGAAAGAAAAGCTGATGAGGAGAGATCATGCAAAAAGGAAGAACCTGAAGGATTATCAATAAGATTCTGACCTGACCCCAGACCAGACCAGGCTGGTTTGTCATAGAGGGGAAATAACAAGGCCATGACCCAGACTGCACAGATGTGTTGCTCTGTCACTCCAGATAGGTCTGGATACAGCTTATGCCAGTCAGCAATATATGCTTAGAATGAAATAATGTGGCAGAAATGCTTCCTGTTCCATTCCCCACTCTGCCATTTCCTGCTCTTCTCTCCTGAGGCTAGGAAGTGCCCAGGACCTAACAACTCCTAACACCTGCTCCTCCCTATTCCTTAGGCTGCTGTAATGAGAGAGAGAGGTTGCCAGTTCTCCCCTGACCTGCCCATAGCTTAGCATTTTTGGAGATCCATGGCTGGAGGCTGATAGCCCCTGGACCCATGCATGTGCTTTGCAGACAGATTGACCTCTGCCCCTAAAGCTCAAGAAGGGAGAGGGAGCAGGGAGATCTAGAGACCCACGGGCCCAACTGCTGCTCTCCGAGAAGTAGGAAGCCAGGACACCCTCTCCAGGACACAACCAGAAGTTTTCAGAACAAAGAGGCATGAGGAACTTTCTTGAAGGGTAGTAATGTAGAAGGGCTGATTAGCCATGTGTTAGCCTATCCCCCACTGGGCCTCTTAGGTGGCTATATCTGGTCTTGGTAGTTAAACTTTATCTTGGAGAATGCTCTAGGTGCCATATGGAAATGAAACTGAGAAGATTCCCTTTCTCAGGATCACCTGATACTAAGTTGCAACAACACTACATTTATAGGATTGAAAAGGTCCTATTGCAGTAGGTCATTGTGTGTCATTGCATCGTTTCTCCTCAGTCAGCTATTTCAAGAGACTTCTGTATCTGTAGACTCTGGAAGAGCACTTAGGGCAGGGTTGAGGAGATGTCTCTGGCAATGCTGAGGGCCAAAGGGCAAAGTAGTGAGATGTTGCTTAACCATCAATGTGGACACTAACAGTCCTCTGGGGAAGTCAGAGTGAATCTAACTGACTGAGCCTTCTTGAGAGTCTGACAAGTATGCATAGAACAGGGACCAGAGTGCCTGGATTCGGATCCAGTTCCCCTTATGATGGGATGGCATATGCTTTAGGAGCCAATGAGCCAGGGTCGTATGCACCATGATGATACTTCTGGGCCTCTCAGCTGAGTGTTTCTGCTTTGTCTAAAGCCCTTTCTTTCCTTCTGGTGATTGCAGGGCCCTGGTTCACTGTGGTTTTTCTAGGTATGGGTGATACATATCAGATCTCAGTTACCACATGGCCAGAGGCCAAATATCAGCTGGAGCCTCCAGTCCAGCTTAGAGAGAATGTGGCCAGTACTTTCCTTGGTACAGTTACTATTTCTTTGACTCTCCTGCGAACCCTGTGGGAGGAAAGGGATGGGGTACAGGAGGGAAGGGAGGGGAGAGAAAGGAGCTGTTTAGGAAACTCTTTATCTCTGGCTGTAGAACACAGGATAATTTGTTATCATATATACCATTTTCAACCCAGCTAAAATCTGTGGCTCCTTAAGATCATCCTTTCCATGTGGCTCCTAGGAATGAAACATTGTTAACAGTTTCTCCCAAGGTCTGAGTCCTTGCTTCTTAGAGCTACTAAACAGGAAGACATAGGTACACCTGCCTACTTGCCCTTTATTTATTTTATTTTTTTTTTTAGAGAGAGTGAGGGGGGGGGAGAGAGAATTTTTAATATTTATTTCTTAGTTCTTGGCACACACAACATTTATGTTGGGGTGTGGTACTGAGGATCGAACCCGGGCTGCACGCATGCCAGGCAAGCGCGCTACCGCTTGAGCCACATTCCCAGCCCCCCTACTTGCCCTTTAGAGATTGTATCTGGTGCCTGGTGAGCCTGTAGAACTAAAGGAAGCAGAGGCAAGGCAGTGCTCAATAAACAGGCACCCTCTAAAGCATCTATTTCTTTACCTGCAATGTGTGGTGTTACTAACAACTACCTGTGATAAAGCTTGAGCCACTGCACACACGACTGGGTGCAGGACTGACTTACCCTGATAGTGTTGCACTGCCTGGTACAATGCTTAAAAGATTTTCACCAGCTGGTACATTGCTACCCCTAGTGTCCACTATGACCAGTTGAGCAGTGCCCAGATTGCTGTGGCTATCTTCATAAAATCCTTATATGTAGGGTTCTGAGCTCTGTAGGAATAATTTGATTATCTTCGAGAAGGTAAGCTGAATGTCAAACCGGACAAGACCTTGGATAATACCCCCACCTTTGACGATGACAGTGGCACAGTGGTGAGAGTCTTATTCCTATCTTGCCATCCTGCCTCCTTAGTTCCTGAGAATCCTTGACTTGTCTCCATTCGAAGGTGGAGAGGCTAGGAGGTGGTGGTCACTTTTCAAGTAGTAAAAGGCACAGGCCTTGGATGCCAAGGCAGCCCTATGGTTCAGGTAAGGCGGATATTCACCCAAAGCCTAAAGAGCACATGAGTGGTATAAGGAGAGTTACTTTGATATGCTTTCCCTATGGACCTTTCCTGTTGGTGACTCCTCTATCATCTTGTCCTGGCAGCCTGTGTGTACTATTTAATCAGTGGCCTGGGCATCACAGCAGGAGCTCATCGCCTATGGAGCCACCGAACTTACAAAGCGCGGCTGCCCCTGAGGCTCTTCCTGATCATTGCCAACACCATGGCATTCCAGGTGAGAAGCGGATGCTGCTCGGCTTTGTATCTCTACCTTGTTGATGACCTAGGGTGGAATGGAGGGTGTCAATGCCCTGAGAGAAGCCTCAGCAGGACCATCACTGACCTTTCCAGTTTCCAGGGGTCACCTAAAATGTACGCTCAAACATGGAATGCTTCAGAATACTTCACTAGGAAGGGAAGTAGAGGGTAAATAGGCAAAGCTCTGGAGGTACAGGATTGTTTTTGATACCAGTGTGTTCAGCTATTGTGATCCTTTATCATAAGGGGCCACATCACATAGCCACACACTGAACCTGGTTTCCTGGGCAGACACTGGGAGTGGGGGATACTCTTGGTTTAGGGAGACTATCTTCAGACACCACCTTTTTTTTTTTTTTTTTTTTTGAGAATGATGTCTAAGAGACTCAGGAACTTTGTTGTCATGGGTAATAAGATCACATTTCTATAGCATTGTGTGCTGGGAACTATGCTATGCACTTCATATAGATGAACTCATTAAGTCCCGATACATCTTAGGAGATAGGTGCTATTATTTAGCTCCCTTTTACAGATGAGGAATCTGAGTCACTTAGAGGGTGGATGGACCAACCTTGTCACCCAAGGGCAGTATGTACCTCATGACCATGACCACATTTCTGTGGTAGCTAAGTCAGCTATTGAGGATAGTTGTGGCCCAAATTTATATCAGAAATAGAATGAAGGGAATTGGGGTAGAGGACTCTTACAGCTAGAACATTATAGCAATGGGCACAGGATAACTCGTGGTATTGGGCTTAAGAGGAGAAGAAAAAACAAATTAGTCCTGTTTTTCTTGGCAATATCTGAGGTATGGAACCACATTTGGATAATCATCTCTGGTCCTAGAAACTTACACCTTCAAGGTTCCTGATGTTGTCTCTGTGGGCCAAAGAGAAAGAAGAAACACATTGGAACATTTTTTGAAGGAATGGAAAAAGCCCCAGACAAGCCCAGAAGTCCTTTGGAGATGCAGTCATGGTCATGAGTTACATGCTACCCTTGAAGCTGTCACTTGCAAACACATTAAGATAGAACTCCTTGCAGTTTTCCTCATAAGCCAGACCCCAGGGTCTGAAGCCACCTGCCTCATTCCCTTGCTACAAGAATTGCCCTGTTCTCTCCTAGTGAAATTATTTGAGCATGGTGGTTTACCTGCATTCTCCCCATCCTGTAACCTGCAGGAAGTCGCAGTTCTATTCCTGGGTCTATACTGCAAGTTGCTTTTCCATCTGATCTTCAGGGCAAGTGTGCAGAAGAGGGCAGGCCCCTCTATGCCTCCTCTGGAGCCAGACTGTGTGAGGTCATGCCAAAAGCCATGGACCCTTTACATACATTTAAGAATGGCATTTTTCCCATGAGGGCGTCCCTCCTCAGGCCTGCATTCCTCTTCTCTGTCCCTCCAGAATGATGTTTATGAATGGGCCCGAGATCACCGCGCCCACCACAAGTTCTCAGAAACACATGCCGACCCTCACAACTCTCGCCGCGGCTTCTTCTTCTCTCACGTGGGTTGGCTGCTGGTGCGCAAACACCCAGCTGTCAAAGAAAAGGGGGCGACCCTGGACCTGTCGGACCTAAAAGCTGAGAAGCTGGTGATGTTCCAGAGGAGGTGAGTAAAGGGAAGACGGGACTAGGGATGTGGCCCTGGGCACCTGAATCTTAAGGACTCCACCTTTTACCTTAAGTCTTAGAAAAATAAAAGCTAAGGATTTACTGGGTTTGTAAATTCAAACTCATTTAAAATCCAGTATTTAACAAGCCACAGGTCCTCAGTCAGTTTACGGCTCTGTTCCCTTCTCTCTGAGCTATCTTAATGAAACCTGTTAAAATGCAGCAAATGCTCACTGACCTGGGATAGTTATGGACACAAAAAATAAAGTAGTTAAGTTCTTTCCTTCAAGGAGTTTGTATCCTCTTGGGGTTGAAGGGCTAAGCCAACTACCCAAATAACCACAATACAGGGTAGAATATTGTCTGTACTATGAGAGGTGCAAAGGGAGGGAGATTGCTCAGTGCGGGCAGAGGAAAGTGGTTTTGAAAGATCTTCACAAATATGAGTGATCAGTGATAATGTAAACAGAAAGAACAGAATAAGGCAGAGAAGTCTCAAGCATGAAGGATGTCCTTCTTCCTGAAGTGTAGGGTGGGGCAGGTAAAAGGACTACGGAGACTCAAGCAGTTCCTGTGCAATTCTAGTGTGGATTTAGGATTTTATTCAGTGGGAAACAGGGAACCTCTAATCATCTCCTTTGCAGCCATGTGGCATATTCAAGGGCATGCTTCAGAGAAGCTGCTTTCAGGACAGGTGAAAGTTACCATTGAGCCAGAGAGACAAGAGGCAGGGACACAGGTTAGACAGTAGCAAGGATCCATGCTAGGGAAGCAGTGGCAGCATGGAAAGGAGTTGGAGGCAAGGAATGACAGTGACATACAAGTGAAAGACGTGACTGCTGAAGGGAGGTAGGCAATCCATTCCCTTAAAATGCCAATCGCCTGGCTTTCACAGGAGTGAAGAGTATGGAACAGGGCCTCTGAAAGGACAGAGACCTGCAGGTGACCAAGGATATTCAGTGAGCCTTCTGAGAGACAAGTAGAGCAAAGAATTTCGGGGAACAGGGAGTAGCTAGAATGGAAGCATGACACTGTGACAAAAGGAAGGCTCCTGAAGGCTCAGGCTGCAGAACTGGCTGATGAGTTTGAGATTTGATGCTCATCTGTTTAACCAACATGGCCTTATGGTCTCCTGAAAAAGAACAATGGACTTCAAGTCAGGATACAGATGTTTCCATATTTGTTCCACTGGTTACCAGTGGGGCCTTCTTAGGAAAGTCATTAAACACATTGTTGCCTCCTCTAGAGACTGGGATAACATGCATTGAAAAGTTCTTCCACACTATTCCCTCGTGCTCTTTTCTGACACTCTCCAGTGAAAGTGGACAATCCACTTAGGCATGACAGCCCTCCACTGACTCACTGTGGGATCTCTCAATGTAGGTACTACAAGTCCGCTGTTCTGTTGATGTGCTTCATCCTGCCCACACTGGTGCCCTGGTTTTGTTGGGGTGAAACTTTTGCACACAGCTTGTACGTCGCCTCTTTACTGCGATATACCATGGTGCTTAATGCCACCTGGCTGGTGAACAGTGCTGCCCACCTCTATGGATACCGCCCCTATGACAAGAATATCAACTCCCGGGAGAATGTCCTGGTTTCCCTGGGAGCTGTGGGTAAGTCATAAGACAATAGCATGACCACATCTAGTGGTTTCCTGATCAGGATATTTGGCTAGGAGCTGGAAGAACCCAAATGACCTATTTTTATGACCACTTTGTAGCTTTTTTTTTTTTTCCAGTATAGTTCTAGGGGAAAGACACTGTGAAATCCCTTTGGGAGTGTGGCAACAACTCTTATGTAAAATGGAAAGGGTAAAAAATAATGCTGCTTTTGATTTTAAGTTATAAAACAATCTCTAAATCCTACCTACATTGAGCCCCATTGACTTTTTTCTTCTAGTCATCTTTTACAGGTTTGTAGTCTTGAGGCAGAGAATGCATAGAGAAAATTAGAGACATCTGCATGACTTAGAAGCCCAGTGTCTTATATTTAAAGATGCTGTAAAAAATGTAGAACAATTATAATTCAATTCAAAAATTTTATGTCACAGAATATTTTTCTCTCCATTGTACTTGGATGTGCCCTATCTTTCAAGTGTGGGCCATACCTTGTTATTTGTTGATGCCAACATGAGGGGAATCAGTGCATCTCTTGGTGGCCCGTGCTCCCACATGCCACCCTTGCTCCTTATGTCCTTTATTTTTCTGTCTTCTGTTCTTACAGTGTGCTAGGAACTCCCTTTTCCCATAGTGCTGGGGGAATCCTCCAGGAAAGCAGAGAGTTGGACAGTTCCACCATCAAACTCTACCTTTTCCTGTCCTTCATTCCAAGTGCATATAGACTTTGACCAAGGCCTCAAGTTAGTTTTCCTGGTGCAGACACCATATTTGAAATAAATGACCTATGATGTATAAATCATAGAAATGTAAGAACCTAGATTGAGATGTGTCCCATAATTGTAAATGGAACTCCAAACCTGCTCTTTTGGCTTCTTAACCTTACCCTTTGCTCTCTTCCAGCTCTGTTTCCTGCCATTCTAATCTCTTTGCTTCTGGAATTGCTTCCCCCATGGTCACATGTTAATCTTTTCTCTGATAAAGTGACTTTCCCCTAGAAAAGAGTCTTCGGCTATCTCTTACTGTCCCTGTTGTGTCCCATTGACTCTCTTCTCCCTTCTCTATCTGTATGTCTATCCCCTTTTAAATCTGATACCTTTGGGCTTGTTGAGGTCTTGCTCTGAACCCATATGTGGAAGTTAGCAATCCTCTATCAGCACCACGCATCTTGGTGTTCCCTGTGCCCCACTCTGCACTCCTGCTTCCCAGTTTACTGGGTGGTCAATGTGTGTACAGAGATAGTGCATAATTTGAGATGCCCTGGATGGAGTAATTGACTTGGTAAAGAATTTCCTTCACTTGCTAGTTCATATCATTGCTATTCTATTTATTTTTTATACTAACTAATAAATAAAGGACCTCTCTTTTTTCCAACTCTGATAAGGGTCAGTGTTATTAGTATTGGAATTGACTTAGACAAAAAAAGAGTCCCTCCAGAATTGTTTTTTTACCCAATAGTGAAATGGTCCTGAATCCAGGCTTTTTTTCTTTTTTTTTTTTCTAGCAAGGATTTCTCAGAATCTCAGCTTACAGAAAATCTCTAAGTATTTTCAGAGTGGTTCTGTTTTTTCACCCCAGGGTCAAAACTCAGGATTAGGATCCAGATCAGCCTACTGTGAACCAGCCATGGTTGTGGAAATTCTGGCCTCTGGTTGAGCCTCCTTTTCTCTTTGTAGTGATAGGATGGCTGTGGCATTTCCAAACATCCAAAATATGATTTCAAGTAAGGGTGTGGTTGAGGTGGGAAATGGTGCTTACTCACCTTGTTAGCAGCACTGCTACAATTTCTTCCTCTGGACTCTCCCCTCCTCACCTCAACACTTGTACAGAGGCAAAGTGCCTGTGGGGTTGTAGGCCAGTATTTAGTGGAACTATGGTATTTTCTAGTATAAAATCCTTTCTCAACAGTATTATCCTCCAATAGAAACTCCTTATCACAAAGGCTCCCAGATAGACATAGGTGATCAGATCCTCTTGGTTCATTGCTTATGATGACTCTGAGGGCATCTATTTGTTTTAAGTAGAAGACACAGGGTTCTTTTATTCACTCAGCAACAGCAGCTTTCTCTGAGGTTTTTAGTGCCCTGCTGGGTAAGAGGTTGCCAAGATGAGGAAAACAGAATTCCACCGAGATTCATAACTTCTTTCCTTGGTTTGTTCCAGGCGAGGGTTTCCACAACTACCACCACACCTTCCCCTATGACTACTCTGCCAGTGAGTACCGCTGGCACATCAACTTTACCACGTTCTTCATCGACTGCATGGCTGTCCTCGGCCTGGCTTATGACCGGAAGAAAGTATCCAAGGCCGCTGTCTTGGCCAGGATTAAAAGAACTGGAGATGGAAGCTATAAGAGTGGCTGAGTTTGAGGTTGTCCAGGGTCCTGTTCCAAAATCCAGTAGAGGTTTAATGTTCTGTTAATTAACTACTGAGTAATGCTACCTGGATGCTAAAGATGATGACCTTAACACATTCTGGTTCAGTAAATGACAAGTACTGAAGGGCAACAACTCCCCTCTTTGATGCTAAAACAATGTTCATTTCTTCTCTCTTTATTTCCATTGTCCTTTTCTTTGCTTGGTTCCTATCATCTTCCTTTGTCTTCTCCCTATTGCCTCCCAGGCAAGCATCTGGTCAGCCGCAGGTCGGTGTCCAATGAAAAGCCTAGCAATCTTCCAAGAGCTTAAAAGCAAAGAAAGGATTTACTTCAGATACCCTCATGTTTGATCTCTCCTGAACTTTAAGGCAGGTGGCTCCACTTAGCTATGCAACAAAATCTTCTCAAAAGTGCTCATTAACTGTCATCATACACTTTGCTAGGTGGAAGATGAAAATAACTATTTATCATAGAGCTTGCAAAGTAGGTCATTCATCAGGGGAGAGTGAGCATGCTGGATATTATTTCTAAGTAAGGGTGTGGTTGAGGTGGGAAAGTTCTTTTTGTAGTCAGACCCAGATGCCTACCTAGCAGAGACCTGGAGCCTCTCCACCCAGTATGCATCCTTTCTCTCCTGACTGATTAGGGGATGGCCATGCAGGTTGGCAATGTTAGATAACAGCAGCACATCTTAATGTCTCAATATAGTTTAGACTGAGGATAAATGGGAAGCATATAGTTCTTAGGAAAAGTGATCTCTTCTGGGGAAAAAAAAATTCCCCCTGTATTAAGGAGATTTGTTATTTTATAGATGAATGAGTTGTCGACTGTGTCCGGAAGTGATGGATACAGCAAGAGCTCATTGAGTTGTGAGGATTTCGTGAGCTGCTTGTCCAACTTCTTTCATCTTTCTCTGTGCTATCTTCAGGATTTTGGTCACTGCCCTTGTAGTGATAGGATGGCTGTGGCATTTCCAAACATCCAACAATGGAAAGATTTTTAGCAGGTGAATTTGGATCAGAGTTAAATGTGTATAGTCATAATTTGTATTGCAGCATGAAAATATTCACTGGGAGTATTTCCCTCTGAAAAAGAAATGCTAAAAAAGCTTGAAGGAGAAGAGGAGCCCATTGGTTTACCCATTCCTCCCACTGCTGGGCAGGAGATGGACAGTTGGAGGGGCAGGGTCTGTAGGCAGCTCCTCCGAGAGATCACTTTCCGAAGGAAGAGCTCTGACAGCACATTGCCCAAGGGTTCAAAAGTCACTGAGTGATTTATTGGGTGTTCTAGTGAACTGAGTTAGATAGTGGGTCCTCCACTACAAAGCAGAGGCCTGCAGTTCAAAACACCTCTATAAAGAGAAGCCTTCATGTCGGTGGAATAAAACATAGGCTTCCTCCCCCAGTGTTGTACCTTTTCATGCATCCTTGCTTTGTGACCATCAGATTGCATATAGGACTGCCTGGGTGGGACAGGAATTTCTTAACTGTTTCTAGTTTTCTGGCTCTACTCCATCTGTCATCTTTCCTCTGCTGGTTCACTCTGTTCTCCAATGTTTTCTTCTTTGTCTGAAGAGTCAGCCTCCTATGTCCATTTAGGGAAGTGAGAACTTGCTATCTAGGCAGCTCCCTGTCCTGTGGACACAAATCTCATGAGCACAGAACTATTGTTTCTCTTTAGCAAGGAGAGCTGACTGTCTCTTTGCTGGTCTCCAGATCCTCTGTGCCTGTGCCACACTGATAACTTCAGAAAGTTTAGCGAATGCTCTAGAAATATTCCTGGCTCAGACAGCTTCAGTCTCCTGTGAAGCCAAATGCCCACCATACCAGTGAGCCAATCTCAGAGGAAAGCAGGGTTAGAAGTCAGTCTCCTCTCTCTGGGTTGGAACAGAGAGCATGCTCAGTGCCTCCTGCATATTCAGTAAGACTGCTTGCTCCCAGGGGAGCAATCAATCCTTGTAGAAGGAGGAGGATGCATAGTCTTCACTGGGAAGCACAAGAAATAAGGGCAAGTCCCAAGTGCCTCATTTTGAAAGGGGGCCCCAGCCTGGAGCCAGAGTCTGCTGTAAACCTTTGGCTGAAATGTGGGATATGAGATGCCATGAACTTTGCTGAAAATATTTGTGTCTGTTCAGCAAACTAATCAACATCCCCTACCACACAACCTAGGGCAGAAAGTAAGATAGAAGAAGTCTAGAAAAACACAGAACACCACTATTTGAAGACTATGGACCTGTCCTGCCCTAAACCTCAGTCCTTAAAGCAGAAGCCTGACTCTGCTCTACCAGGATCAGCAATGTGCAATCCCAAATGCTCTGTCCACTGAGATCTAGCCATGGGAGGAAGCAGGGCCTTCCAGCCTGCAGTAAGGCAACTTGTCCTTAAGCTGTTCATTTTAGTAGGAAATCACCTTATGAAGAGCTGCCTACTCTGTGCCTATCACCGGAAATGTCTGTTGAATGGTTTTAATTCTACAGGTCATCAAATGTCTGCTTGATAATATATAAACAATAAACTCAACCTTTCTCTTTTCTTCTCATCCTGTTCCATGGTTCTGATCTATGCCATGTCCCTACACACATGGGTATGGTGACCTCAGGGTGAGGTCCCCAGTAACTCTGTAGGGGCACGCTGGTTCAATAAGAACACTCTTCAAGATTCTAAAGCTCAATTCAAGTGACACATTAATGAGAAACTCTCATCAAGAGTTAATTACTCAATCCTTGCCTTGTGGGTGTGCTCACAACAGATTTGGGTGCCTTACTTCTTTTCTAATCCTGTGGTTATGCTCCTCCTGGTTCCCTCTGAGCAGTCCTTTACCCCTGAGAGCCTGCAGCAGTGCCCTAAATCAATAGAAGCCTGGCTAGAGTGTTATCAGTGAAGAGACTTGAAGGATTCCCCTCTAAGTTTCATTTTAAAAGCCTTTCTTAGGAATGTTTTTATTAAGTGCCCAAATTTGAAGGAGAGTAGAAGCAATTTGAATGTATTTGACATTTGAAACATGGAATGGTGGTAGTAGCATTTATAGTGGAAAGTATGCTTGGTTTGCTAATATCTTCAGTGTACTGTATGTAGCTCAAAGGGGTAAGTCTAAAAGGTAAACAAAGCAAGGTGACCCTGTTACACTAGTGGGCAAAGTCTGGGCCTTCTAACCCGGTGCCACCAACTTGCTGTGTGACCCTTGCTTTTATAACAAACCCACTCCCCAGACAATGTCATTAATCCATTCAGAGCCCTCTTGAGCTAATCACCTCTCTTTAAAGTCCCACCTCTCAATTTGTTGCTTTGGGGATTAACATTCCAACACATGAACTTTGAGGAGGAATGCTGAAATTGTTGCACTGGACAAATCACTCAGTTATAATGTGCCTTGCTTTATCTTCTGTTAAAATGTGGTATGATAATAATACTGACCTACCTCAAAGGACAGTTTTGAAGTATGACTAAAGCCTATTATTAAGCATTTTGGGATCTTCAGAGGAATTCTCAAGCCCCACAGACTTTTCTAGTAGCAGTATCCACCACAAACTTGATATGCACATATGTCTGGATGTCATTATTAGCCTACATGGTTCTCAGAGATTAAATGCAGCCATTGGAGATGGATGTGTCTCTTATGCAGGGTACCTTTTCTTTGCCTGAGTGGATTGGGTTTTTTTCTCTTCCCATTTTAATGTGAGATAGTAGTTATTGGTTACCTAAGAATAATTTTGGAATATCAAGTCTGAAGCTAGTTGTACTGATCCGAGATTATGTTTGTTAATAATAAAAGTGAAGTGATTCTGATTGCACTGTGTCTTAGAGTGTTTTGGCTGTGATATAATCTCCTGGGACCTGTCTCTATGGCCCACCATCCCATGTGTGTCCTGAGCCTCTGTAGCGTGAGAGCTTTAGAAATTGTGTAACTTGCATGAAAAGGCTGTATATAGCAGTAAAATGCTCAGAAACCAAGCCAGGGTTTTGTGATTGACCAGTCACTGTCTTATTTAAGGTAGCAATGAATGTGAGTCTATAAAGCATTTATTTATACTGATAATACATGATCCAGTAAAATCAAGTCTCTTGAAATGTCAAAAAAAAAAAAAAAAAGTTAAAAATAGTTACAATGGTTGAGTCATACCCCAGGAACCTGCCCTGACCTTCCAAAGGGTAACTTTAGGTTAAACTCTGGGCAGCAGGAAAGGAGGTGTCTGTTCCTATTAAATCAAACACATATACCTGCGGTTGCACATTGGCCTGGACGCATGCCAGGACCACATGTGTCACGTGGTCACATGGACCCAAGACAAAGATGCTGGAAGAGGTCAACAGCAGCCGCAGAAGCAGGTTATGTGGTAACCAGGCTGGGCAGCCCAGCTCCTGGAAAGTCCTGGCTTCCAGGCAATAAACGGCTTCCTGACCACTGATATACAACAGCAGGAAGAAAGAAATAATCCAGGGGAAACTGGATTCCTGGAGTAGAGAGAGCTTCACCATCACATGATGGAAAAGGTGTTTGGTTTGGTTTACTCTCAGCTTCTATTGCTTTGGTAATTCTCTTGTGGCAAAGAGAGGGCAGAACTTGTACCATCTGTACAAGCTCCATATTCCAGCAGGAACCTCCTTGACCAACAACTCAGCTTCTGTGACCTGTAAGAACTAGTTCTGTCAGTTTACCTCACTTTCTGATCTAAGGATGCCCTTGTCTTGAACAAGAAGCATGACTCTTAGAGTCATTATAAGGCAGGACTCTAATTCTGGGTGTTCAAAAATCAAAGGTAGCATATATCAAGGCTTTGCTTGAACTGAGGGTAACATTTTCTTCATCAACGAGTATCTGGCTTTCTACCTTGAGTCCCACTCCCTTTCCCTTGTTTAAAATGCTGAAGTCAGAATAATTTTTCAGTTGTCCCATAACTGCACCTGCCCTGCCGCGTCTCTGCTGTTGCATGGACTGGCATCCCAGGGAAACAACATGTCCTCGCTGTGCTCCTGCTGCCTTCTCAGTTCCTCCTCTTCCACACCTGGCTGTCCTCCCTCTGATTAAACACACCTCTGTGCCTCCTCCATATTTTCTATATCAATTTGTTCCTTGGACTGTTTTCTTCCTTGTCTACAAAAGTTATCCAAAGAAAGAGGAAAACAGAGAGATTTTAGAACTGGAAAACAGTTAAGGGAAGGAGTGACAGCTTTCTTCAGAGGGTGAGATGGAGAGCAAGAGCTCCCTGGGGGCAAAGCAGTGAACTCTGCTTTTCCATGTTTTATGAGAAGGGATAAAGAGATTAAGTCTAGGCATCAAGATTTAATTATTGGCAAAAAAAAAAAGATTTAAAATAATGGAGAAACTAAAATAATGAAAATTTTTATACCAGTGGCCACCATTTTCTCCCTCCTCTCTAAAAGAACCACTATATTCCCCAAAATATCTGGCAGAGCAATGAAAGAAGCAGCACCTAAATTAAACAGAAAGATGTAAAACTACCTTTGTTTCCTGATGATATAACTAGAATATGAAAATTTCTACAAAATAAACAATTTAGGCAAGGTTTCAAGATATAATAGCAATAGGGGCTGAGGCTGTGGCTCAGTGGTAGAGCACTTGCCTAGTACGTGTGACACTGGGTTCGATTCTCAGCACCACATATAAATAAATGAATAAAAATAAAGGTCCCTACATCTAAAAAAATATTTTAAATATATATATATATATATATAATAGCAATATACAAAAATCAATTGTATTCTGTCTAACCTAGCAATGAATATACTAAAAATGAAATTGAAAAATACTTCCATTTATAGTAGCATCAAAAATAAAGATATGTCCAGTATGATGATACACTTCAAACTACAAAATGCTGTTGAAAGATTTTAAAGGAGAAAGTACTTGAAAGGTATTCAAAGGAAGTATAGTTCATGGATTAGAAGACTAATATTGTTACCATGGCAATATCTTGAAAGTTATGTATCATTTCAAGGCAATTTTTATCAAATTTCAACTTTTTTCAACCAAAGTACTGAGAATTGAAAACAAGGGCCCTTAACTACTGAGCCACATTCTCAGTCCTTTTTATTTTTTATCTTGAGACAGTGTCTCATTAAGTTGCTTAAGGACTTGTTGAGTTGCTGAGGCTGACCTCCAACTTGTGATTCTTCTTCCTCAGCCTATTGAGTCACTAGGATTATAAGAATATACCACTGTGCCTAGCTCTGATTTTTTTTTTTTTTTTTTTGGTACTGGGGATTGAATTCAGGGGCACTCAACCACTGAGCCACATCCCCAGCCTTATTCTGTACTTTATTTAGAGACAGGGTCTCACTGAGTTGCTTAGTGCCTCACCATTGCTGAGGCTGACCTCCAACTATGATCCTCCTTCCTCAGCCTCCAGAGCTGCTAGGATTACAGGCATGCAACATTTTGCCCTGCTCTAATTCCTTTTTGAAGAAAATTTGACAAGCTGATCCTAAAGTTTATAGGGAAATTTATAAGACCCAGAATAGCCAAAACAAACTGGCAAGACAAACTCAAAGTTGGAGGACTAATACTTCCTGATTTCAAAAGTACTTCTGAGGGTCAATAATCAAGATAAAGTGAGACACTACCGGCATAAGAACACACATAAATTAATGAGATGGAATTAATAGTGTAGATGTATACCCCAACATCTAGGGTAAATTTGATTTTTGATGAGAGTGTCTAGATAATTCAACAAGAAAAAAATAACATTTTTCAACAAATGTTGCTGGGACAACTGGATATCCACATGCAAAGGAATGCTGGCCCACTAACTCAATATTAACTCCCAATGAATCACCTAATGCTATAAAACTCTGAGGAGAAACATAGATGTAAATCTCCAACACCTTGGATTAGACAGTAGTTTCTTAGATATGAAAGAAAAAAAAGATAATTTGAAGTTTATCAAAACTGAGAACTGTCCTTTGAAAAAAATGTTATCAAGAAATCGAAAAGGTTTGGGGCTGGAGCTATATAGCTCAGTGGTAGAGCACTTGCCTAGCACATGTGAGGCACTGGGTTCAATCCTCAGCACCACATAAAATAGAAGTATTGTGTCCATTTACAACTAAAATATTTTTTAAAAGGAAATTGAAAAAGTAACCCACAAAATGGGACGAAACATTTGCAAATCATATATTTGACAGGGGACTCAAACTCAAAACATAAAGTGAATGCTTATAACTCAAAAACCATACAAAAAAGATAATCCAATTTGAAAATAAAGAAGTTTTGTAATGGTACATAATAACTGAACATAATAGTGGGTTTCACTGTGGCATAATCATACATAAATATAACAATTGAATCAATAAAACCCAAATATACTAAAAAATAACTGACTGAAGTACTTCATTAAAGGAAGTACTCTGTCTTCCCTTAATTATATAGTTGTATGGTTCTCAGTCTCAAATGTCAAAGAGACAAAAGGTAAATTCTATAAACTGCAGTCTAAGATGATAATTTTGCTCTCCCAAATTACACTAGCTGGAAGAATCCAGGTACTATGTGCTATATTAGTGAAAAATGTTTTGGCCACTGCACAAAACAAATCCAACTTTCCTCAGAGTCAAAATCCAAGATCTCTGTCCACCAGACTAGAGGACAGGCACTACTGATAATGGCAATATCCACATTTCTACAGACAGGCACTGCACTGCAGGCTAAACAGCACATCACCTCACTCTATCAGAAGCAGGTGCTGTTGTTGCATGAATTCAACTAAAGAGATAGCTGGATCAGATCTGGAGAGAACCTGTGAGAGAGTGGACAGTGGCACTGTGGTCTGGCTTTAGAACTGAGGTCTCACCTCTTGGCTCTCCTGAGGACCAAATAGACAGCCCTGCTATAAAAGCAAGTGCCAGTCAATGATACTCCGTTATACCAAAGCCTGGTGGTAGCCCTCCTCCCTGACTGCCAATGTCAGGGAGCTGAACTCAAGTACAAACTACATAAGCTTCCTGTGTTCTGCAAGAACCCAGCTCTCTCCACCTTCTGACCCACCTTAACACTGAGCCACATTTGAGTTTTTAAGCCCTCTCCTCTCTACCACAGAATCAGACCTGACGTTTCCTCTCTTCTTTTCATTCATACTCCACCCCCTTGTAAAGTTCTGTACTCCTCCAAAGGCATCTTACTTTATTGGAAATGTCTCCCTTCATTAAAAACAGTCAGTACTCAATCCAATAATGGAAAGATCTCATGACTTCTTTTAAGTTGTGTCTCTACTACATACTGGGGGGAATGTTAGTGGGAGTGGAGTCCTACTCTGTGAGCTACAGCTACAGGCAAAGGGCTGATTCATGAACACTGACTTTGAGGCAAATGCCACAGGCTCCAAGAAGCTGAGATTCTACTCTGGGATTGCCAGTGGCAGAACCCTCTTATTTTGGCAACCCAGTCTGCCCCTCAATGACTGTTTTGCCCAGCCTGCCATACCCTGTTCTGAGAGGGCTCACAAAAGAACAGTGTGTGCTGTGCTGACTTACGGTGGTCCAGGGCCCAGGCAAGGATCTTCTCAGAGGGACCAAAAGGGTCCTTTATGTCTAGGCCCAAGTCCAGTGGGAGCGGTGAGTAGCCAAGGCCAGGCCAGGCTTTGAAAAACCTTGTAAACAACTAGATGAAAAAAATAAAAATTGAACATGAAAGGAAACCAATGGTCCAAAGTTACAGATAAACTTTCACTCCTTTCTTGAGAGAATTTTGGTCAGTAGAAAAACACCCCTTTTAGTTCATTTCAGATATGTAGAGTGATATCTTTAGATATACATTATATCTATATACATTATATCGATATACATTTTATCTAGGTAATTTGAAGTAGACTTTACACTACATAAAGTGACCATTTTTAAAAATCATGTGGGGGGCTGGAGTTGTGGTTCAGTGGTAGAGTACTTGCCTGGCATGTGTGAGGCCCTGGGTTCCCTCCTCACCACATACAAATAAATAAATAAAATGAAAGATCCATTTACAACTAAAAAATATATTTTTTAAAAAAATCATGTGGCATTTAATACATTTACAATATTGCATAACCACCACTTCTGGTCCCTAAACACTTTTTTTTTTTTTTTATCATCCCAAAGAAAATCCCAAACCCTTTCAACAGGAACTCCTCATTTTCCCCCCACCCTCACTCCACCTTCCATCCTTGGCAACAACCAATGTGCTTTCCCTCTATGGATTTACTTATTCTGGATTTTCACAGAAATGAATTATGTGATCTTCTGTGTCTGGTTTCTCTCCCAGGATAATTATTTGCATGTTCATCCGCCCTGTGGCATAAATTGGTACTCCATTCCTTTTTATTAATAGTCCATTTAGTGGATTATTAATATTCTATTTAATGCGTATTACAGCTGTATATTGCTTTATCTATTGTTATGAACTTTGGGGTACTGTGACTAGCGCTGTTTATGAACATTTATGAACAAATATTTGAGAACTCCTTTGCATTCATTTGGGTACCTGGCTTTGGAGTGTCTGAGTCGCATGCAATTGAATGTGTAACTCTTTGTGGGCTCACCAGTGTTTTCCACAGTAAGCTGCACCATTTACATTCCACCACCAACGTATGCGCGTCACCCTTTATCCTTCACGTACACATTCGTCCGTCCCTTCCTCCTCCCTTCCTCAGGAAAGGCAGTCCCCACAGGTCTCCCTGGCCCCGGATGTGAGGGTGGGAGAAGCCGCGTCCACAGTAGCAAGACCAGCGTCAGGCCGAAGCCTCCGGTCGTGCCTTTTCTACCAATAGGGCAGAGTGCGCAGGGGCGGGGAGGACAGGCTGCCACCTCGCTGAGCCACCGCGGCCATCCTGTGTGATTCCACAGAACTGCCGTCGTTGTGACTCCAAAGCCCCCCTCCTCACTAAACTCCTTAACAGCCCCGCTGAGGTCGGAAGGCGGCTGCTCTGCGCAGACCGCCAGCCAGGCTCAGCCTGCAACGCTGAGCGCTGAACTCTCAGGGGCAGCTCCAGCAGCCCAAACCGCAGCCTCACGCCCAGAGCCAGAGCCTGGCGGGGCGGGGCTCCGCTGTTGCCCTCCTCACCTCTCACCGGGGTTACTGCTGGTCAGAGACCCGGCCTTCAGGGTTATTAGCGTTCACGCCACACGTAGCTCCTGAGCCCGCTCAGCCAATCAGCGGCCATCCGGCTTGTCAGACGGCCATCCGAGCCAATCAGAAGGCGCGACCGCTTCAGGCCGCTGTCGTCTTTCTACTTTTTCCGCCCGGCGTAAGGCTTCTGTCAGACTTAGCCTGCCACACGCTGGAACGCGGAAGTGAAGACTGCCTTCCAGAGCGGGAAGTTCGTTTGTGCACTTGTGCGCTTCGAGAGCTCCCGGAACGGAAGAGGCCGCTCCTCCCCAGCACATGCTCTCCTTTCGTGCCCAAAAGAAATGAATGCAAAGAGCTTTAGCCTCCTGGGCAGCCAGCCCCTCCCCTGGGGTCTATGGCCCGTGTAAGCAACTGTTCCCCAGCTGCTCTTGAGGTTGGGGAGACCTGGCTAAACTGGGAGAGTCGGTGGGCAGGGAGCATTGTGATTCTTGTCTGTAGTAGTGCAAAATATCTGTCATGTAGGAGTCAGAAAAACTTATGAGGAAGAGCCCAAGGTAAAATAAAAGTGAAGCACATTAGAGAACGTTCCAGGCTGATGTCACCCGACATGAAGGGGGTGCGGAATGGGAGGGAAAGGTGCCTGCACAGAGGGTGCAAATTGCTTCTTATCTGATAAGGAGTCATTAGATATGTTCAAGCAGGACAGGAAAATCTGTGCAATAGCAGAGCAGAGGAGTCCAGACTAGGGCTGGTAGATTAGATTAAGGCTTTGGTACAACTCAGGTGAGGAGCAGGGGACCTCCAAATCTGGGTAGTGATGGTGGAAATGGAAAGGAAGTCCGAGACGTTTGGAACAGACTCAATAACACTCAGTCGATCGAAACTATGAGATGATGGAAAGGAATTGAAATGCCTGAGGGTTTTTTAGTCTGAGTGATGCAAAGGAAGTACTTTCAACAATTGAAATAGGTAATTTTTTAAAAGAAGTAGAGGTCAGTGCTGTAGCTCTGGTAGAGCCTTGCTTAGAATGTTCAAGGCCCTTAGTTGAAAGAAGGAAGGAAAACAAGAAGAAAAAAGATTTGGAAGGGGTTAGGAGTTCAATTTTTTTTTT